TATTCCATTTTCATAACAACGTCCAACATTATATATTCCATCAGCATGTCTCATGTCTGCTGATTTTTTGTAATATTTGAATGCCTTCTTTATGTCTTTTTTACCTCCTATTCCATTTTCATAACAACGTCCAACATTATATATTCCATCAGCATGTCTCATATTTGCTGATTTTTGATAATATTCAAATGCTTTTTTTATATATTTTTCAACTCCTATTCCATTTTCATAACAGCGTCCAAGATTATATGTTCCATCAGCTTGTTGTAAGTCTGCTGATTTTTGATAATATTCAAATACTTTTTTTATATCTTTTTCAACTCCTATTCTGTATTGATAACAATGTGCAACATTTACCAACTTCTCAACATATTTATTTTCTTGATTTTTTGCCTACAGAACAAGCGAGTTCGTCTAGTACTACTTTACCTGCTGTGGAATGTATTTCATCTGATGATGATCTAGTGTTGGCAGCAAAATCGCCGAAATTCACTGCGTCGAATTTGCCATCATGAGACCCGAAAACATGATGAAAGAGCACCGAAGAACCCACCATGAAATTGCAAAGAAATTGATTTTGAGAAGCTACAAGCCACGAAGAAAAGAAGAATCAGAATTATAGCAGCATAAACAATTCAGGCTTGGGCAGTGCCAAAAGCTTAGCCAGAGGAGGCAAAGCAATAATTGCTATAAAAATGGCATGATGTGGCAGGCTTGGCTTAGACTAGAAAAGTTCTTTTTTTCTTTTGTTCCCTGCATGTAAAATTTATATATAATGGGCTTGTTTGCCCTTAACAAAGAACAACTGAATGTTGTCATAAAAAAAATAAAATTGTTCTCTCAACCACTATATAATCTATTTTGGTTTACTTTGCCAAAACAACACTATGAGAAGTGGGTTGGGTGTGTGTTTATTTTGTGGGTAATTGGTTTCTGCCCTTTGCCTATTGACACTAGTTATTTCATTATCATAAAGTATTAAGGGAAAAAATAAACGACCACTAACTGAAGATGATGATAATAGATTATAGTCTGATTCAGCCATTAGGCAAAATTAGGTCAGTTGGTTGAATTTTTTTTTTTAAATTTATTTTAAATTAATAGAATTCATATTCATATTTTAAGGCTATACAAAGTTATTCTTTTTTTTGCATAACAAGGGATTAGAAAAGTAGGTTGGCAGTCATTCTTTCTGTCTGTCCTATTGAGCGTGATAAACTTAAAGCAGAAAAAGATTATAGAGAAGGGGATCTAAAATTACGAAATTTAGAGTATAAACTAAAAAAAAAAGAAGTTGATGCTCGGATTAAAATTGAAAATGAAAAATTTGAATTCGAAAAACGAATAAAAGAGCATTTTGAACAAAAATTAAAAGAATTAGAGTTAAGAGTAAAAGAATTAGAAATAAACTATAAGCATAGTGAATCTAATGATAAAGTACATAAAGCATATACCCTATATATGTTAGATGCCCTATCCTAATTAAAATTTTTTTTTTAACAATCTTTATATTTTTTTAACTTTTTTTTTAACGATTTTAAGTATATATATGTTTAAATTCATTTAAAATGTAATGTATATGAAATTTTTTAATAAAATATTTTTGAATAACTTCAAATACCTTATAGTTTATTTATTGAACGATATATCTTTACCATTTAAATACTATCATGACAGGTAGTGCAAAGCACTACCTATATTTTTTAATAATATTAAACAACATACCAATTTTTATATACACAATTCATCTGAGATAAAGAACTTCGTACGTACTGTACATATGTATGTACAATTTTTACAGCCAAAACTCTCGTAATCTAGTGATCTATTATTAGTAGCTATACCACAAAATATATTATTAGTAGCTATACCACAAAATATTTTCTGTTCACGTGTTTCTCGTTACAATTTTACGCCTCATCACATGACATTATTTTTATTAAACACGATCAACCAATTTTTTTTATTTTCTTTCGTTGCTTTTTTACGTCATTCTTTCTGTCGTTCTTTTGGTGATTTTTTATGTCATTCTTTTGGTGACTTTTATATCGTTCTTTTGGTATGTTTTTTTTTTCAGTGCTTTTTACGCGTTTTTTACGTCATCCTTTTGGTTCTTTTCACGTTCTTTCGGTGCTTTTTTCGTCGTTCCTTTGGTGCTTATATCGTTACTTCAGCGCTTCTTTCGTTCTTTCGGTGCTTTTTACATCATTCTTTTGTTATGTTTATATAATTTTTTTGGCATGTTTTTTCAATGCTTTTACGTCGTTCTTTTTGTGTTTTTTTTTTACATCTTGCTTTTTACATCTTTCTTTGTACCGTTTATATCGTTTCTTTAGTACTCCTTGCGTCGTTCTTTCGGTGCCTTTATTTCGTTCATTCAGTGCCTTTTATGTAGTTTTTTTTGTCCTTTTTTTTTGGTGCATTTTATCGTTCTTTTATTGTTTTTATATTGTTTTCTTGGTGCTTATATGGAGTTTCCTTGTGGGTCTTGTTCGTTGTTCATTTAATAAAATTTGTATGTAATAATAAATAAATACAGAATAAAA